GCAGTGATTTCCCAGTACAAAAGAATCGTAATCATAATAAAATCTCCAGTCACCTAGAGGATGTACCCATTGTAAATATCCCTCTCGGTATTCGGAAGCCAACCTCCCCCTCCTTTTGAGACACACACACACACACACACACACACACACACACACGCTTCTGATTAATAATCTCTCACGCGGCACACGGAGGCCGAAGGCGAGGAGCCGCAGAATGCCGAGGAAGGGCGCAGAATTCTCAACACTTAGAATTTCAATACAGATTCCAAAGACCTGCTAACTGCTTTCGGAGAAGACGAGCACTTTCAAATACTGACTCCTTCCTGGGGCGGGGGAGGGGGGGGCGGTCGCGGTTACCCCGCATTTCTGCGTACAGACATGCGTTAGTTAAACATGGGTATAGGTAGGGAGCTCACGCATGTGGCCAGGCCCAGGTTTCTTTCTTTTTTCTTTTTAAGGCGAGAAATGGAAACCAATCCACTCTTTCTGTGGCTGGCTCCCACGAAGCTGGGATTTCAAGCCTCTTGTTTATTTTTAAAGCCAGTGGGAAGCCCCAGCTGAAAGCCCGGCCTGGGATTTTCACCAGCGCGGTCCCAGTGCACGTGGAAAGAAGAGAAAGGAGGGAGAGCTGGTGGCTTTGAGCCGCTTCCGTCGGGGCCTCGCGTTTCGCCCCCATCGGAGCCCTCTCTTCTTTCTCTCCCCCGAAGGCGCTCCCTGAGGCCGGCCGGCATCTCTGCGGTCGTGGCCAGGTGAGCGAGCGGACGGTCCCTGGGAGCGGGGGTGCAGCGGCCCTCTCTCGGGAGCGCTGGTGGGTCTGTGAACCCGCCCGGCGCGGAAGACGGAGTGGCTCGGGGGGTCCAGCGCGGGGCTCCCGGCTCCGGCCAGCGGGGGGACAGCGACACCTACTGGCCGCACGGGCAGCGCGTCGGGGCCGTCGGGGCGGCCCTGGGCGGCGGGTACCCGGTGGCGTGGACTTCGGAGGCCGAAGGCCTCTGCGCCCCAGGCTCGGCCCCGCCCTCTAGGCCTCGCCTGTCCCCCGGGGAAGGCAATGCCTCCGCTTCTAGAGAACCCTAAGGGGTGGGGGGCGCAGGATGGGCCTGCACCCTCGCGAGGGCACACGCGCCCTCTAGTCGGAGGGTCTTTCTTCTAGGGAACCCGGGGAACTCGCAGACACAGTTGGCCACCATCTCCCGGTTTTAGGAGACATCCAGGCGAAGCTTGGAGCCCTGACCTCTCCCGGGGTTCATGACCCAGGGCCTCTTCTCCACCGCCCCCGTTTCAGTGCTGACTCAAGATGGTTATCTTTGCAATTAGGAACCAGAGAGCGTTCATTAGCCTCCCTTAAGAAGGGAAACGTACGCGTCAAGGACACGAACACACGCAGCGGCGGGCTTCAGGCAAGCGACCCGGGCCGAGCCCGCCTCCCTGCTCGCCAGCTTCGGGGCCCCCCTCCGGCGCATCCTCACCGCCGCCGGCGATGGAGATATGGTAGCTTTTCTTTACAAATGATCATCTTAATTACACCGGAAGTAAAGGCAAATTGGGGGGTGGCGGGGATATTTTCGAGACCTCCGGGCAGATACTAGATAGATACATCCTGCTAAATGGGAATGGGAATGCTTCCAAGCGAATGTTAGCTTCGGTAGGGAAAGATGGGAGAGGGTGCCAAGGAAAGGCGACGCCCGAGGAAAACCTAGCCAAGGACGGGGGTGAAAAGAAACCAGGTCGGGTATTCCAGATTGCCTTTTTCTCCTTAGTCTTTTTCTGCTCAAGGTAATAGCTGTTTCCTCTGTAAAGGAGATGTAGGTGGTCCCACACTGTGTGGAGGAGGGGGCGATCTCAGGCTCTTCGTGTTCCCCAGATACCTCCGTTTTCCCGTTTGAGCTCTAAGGCTCACCTGGGCCTGAGAAACGTGAGTGTGATTCAGGTGTTAACTTCCTTAAACAGTAAAATATATTTTCTCCTAGAAAGATTGGGCTTTTGGAACTGATTTGGATCCTTGAGATTTTTTCCATTTAACATACTACTCACTTAAAATTCCAGAATTTTTTTTAAAACGACTTTTCATTTAAAGTTTGAATTCATCTCGGAAGTTCTTTTCTTTAGCTTTAGATGCTGGTTGAAAATAGGGTGTGAAGTGTTTTGAGGAAAAGGGAAGGAGGGTCTTGTTAGGGCTAAATTTTTGTTTGCATTCTCTAGTTATAAAAGTTTTGATCATTCTGTTTTAAATAAAATTGGAATCCCTTAGGGCCCCTAAAGTCAAGAGTTTTAGATCAAGATTTCTGTTTTTTTTTTTTTTAATCTCTAAAATGTTCATGGGGGCTGTTCTTCAACTTAGTTTTGCAAATATTTTTCTTTTAAAAAAATTTTTCTTCAAGTGTATCTAAACGTGTTCTGATAAAGTATGAATTCACATCCCAGAGCAGGCCCTTAGCAATATGTATGATGTACAAATAAACCCATATTACTAATAATGAATAAAACAGAGCTATATTCTAATTGCATCTCTGTCAATGAATCCTGTACCCCACTGCATATCAAAGTTAACTTTTTCCTGGTATAACGGAAATCTTCATAGGGACAGAAGATGATTACAAAAAAATTTAATTCCACCAAGCACACAACAAGTAACTGTGAATCAAACCCAGTTCAGAGGTATCTTTGGATACTGAAAGCACCTTGAAAAATAGAGGGGTTGAAAATTTTTCCTTTCTTAAGAAACATTAAGTTTCTAAAATGTAGCTTTATTTATGACTTGAAAACCTGATCTAGAATGGCTTCTTATTGTTGTCTGATATTCTTTGGTTTCACTAGCTCTAAATAGTGTTGATTTAAGAAAATAGAAAAACAGAATTTAAGTGTCAAAGTAGCAGAATTCTCTATCACCTAATCACCCCCGAAGCATAAGCTTATTAAACCCTATTTAAAGGACTTTATTTTGAACAGAAAATTAGGCCAGTGAAATTGTTTCTTATTCACAAGAAATATGGATGTATGCATATTGTGATATTACATGTGACATTACCATAGCATTGCATATATGATGGGTATATATAAAAATATATAAGCCATGGATATCCATGAATGTTACAGTGGATTGTTACAGTGTGTGTGTGAAGTAAAGGTGGAGACAAGGCTTCTCCTTCTGTTCAGGTCTTCCTAAATATATCTCTCCTTAAATTAGCAAGTAAATTAAGGAATGAAGACAGGCCAAATTGTCCTTAGACTGTATGTGTTCCTTTGTCACACATGCCCTGCCTCTGGGCTCACTTTGGTGTGTGTGTGTGTGTGTGTGTGTGTGTGTGTGTGTACTTCCTTTCCTGCTTGTTGAGAAGCAAGAGGAAGGAAGGGATGCCAGGATGGGATTATTGATCAGAAAGGCACATCATTGCATGTAAAATGAGATGGAAATATTTGAAATCCTGCTACATGGTTATCTGGGGTGGGGTACTTGTGTGTGGTAGCAGGCAGGCTACTGGCATAAATCACTTGGGGAGAGGGGAGAGGCTCCCATCTCCTGGAGTGGCCTCCCTTTCAGCTTTGCTGATACCCGCAGGGGCTCAATGATGTTTGGTTTCAGGGAATAGAGCTCCAAGGACACCTGTGTGCATCTGGTTGGAGAGAGGGGTGTGCGTGTGTGTGTGTGTGTGTGTGTGTGTGTGTGTGTGTGTGTGTGTGTAGGAGGGAAGAGTAGGGACTTCATCAAAAATTCACTGGAAAAAAATGCTGGTCCTAAAATTCTGCCATATCATCAATTGGAGTCAGGCACCCAGGTCACTAACATGTCCAGGTTCACTCATAGACTGCGGAACGGTATTTCTTTCGATGGTACAATATGGCTTCTTTCGTGTCTTTGGTTCTTTATGGTGCTTCCTTAGAGTGGGGCGAGGCTCTAACCTCCCCCTCCTCTATTCTCCATCCCCGAAAACAAACCATTCTACCACTTGAACCATCTGCCGCAGGTGTAATGGATGGCAGGGGGCCGACCTAACCACACTTCAGTCTCTTCTAGGTCGTCACCGCTCTGCACCAAACAAATGAGTCCTGTTTCGCCACTAGGGTGCCGAGGTGGATGGTGGATGCCGGCCCCCGCCCCTGGCAGCGTTCAGCGCTTAGAAACCAGAGCCAGCTGACAACACACGAAACACACAGGCACAGCGAAAACGCCGAGCCACCGCGCGCTCCCTCCGCCCCCTCCCTCTGTTCTCTGCATCCGTAAAGGACGCGAACACAGCCTTTATACATTTTAAAGCCCCTGCGACTTCCTCTGAATTCTTGGTTACTTACGACGGCCTTTCCCACAGCACATAGCCCCTGGTGGGGTGTGTGTGTGTGCGCGCGCGCGCAAATGTGCGTGTGTATTTAAAACGCTTATTGGTAGGTCATCAGCAGCTGATCAGACATAGTAATCCAATAATCTTTTTGAATGCATACAATTTTTCTTTAAAGGTATTTTTTCTTTTTTTAAGAAAAAAGGAAATCTGTCGATTTCCTGTGCAAGTCTTGGGGTCCCAGTTTAGGTTCTAGGCAACCACAGAGCTGCGCAGCCTCCACCTCGCCAAACTTTCCCTTTCCAGGTTTGAGCGAGGCGCAAATGTGCACTTCATGACTGAGCGGGGGCTGCTTTGCAAGCGGGTGTGGGAGAGAGGGGAGCCGTGGGGACGCTCAGATAGGGAGGGAAGTCGGGTAGCGGGAACACCCCCCCAACCTCCTCCCACATCCCCCGCCACCCTCACTTGGAGCCCTGGCCGGACGCACAGGGGGCCTCGGGGCAGGAGCCGGGAGTCCAGCCTTCCCGGGCGCACAGCACCCTTTTGACCCCGGCCCTCTGCTCGGATCCCTGCCCGCCGCATCTCACCCCGCTCGCCTGCTCGCCCCCACCCCCATTTGTATCCCCATTCGAGTAGCCCCAGGTCTCGGAGCCCACCTCCCGGGCCTGGGCGATGGGCGGAGGCTGGACCCCGCCAGGAATCGAACTCCGCCGTCCCCCGAGTACTCACCTCGAGTAAGGCCCTGGCAAATGGTGGCCCCGAAGCGTCAAGTTTCCTCTCCCAGCCGCTCTGCCAGATCCTCCTCCTGCCTGCTGCTCCTCTCCGAAAGCTCGCCTCTCCCTCTCTCCTCTCTCTCCTCTGTCACACGCAAGGATTACTTGTGACTTTTAGAGGCAAAAGCTTGCTTATTCAGAGAGGAGAGGGAGGGGAGAGGGAAGGGAGGCGGGAGGGAGGGGAGAGGGGGAGACTGAAGTCGAAGGGGGATGGATGGAGGAAGGAGAGGGGGTGGGGAATCGGAGGTAGTGAAGGCGTAGGTAGAGGGGGAGGAGGGAGGGGTCGGGTAGGGTGGAGTAACCGAAGATGGGCTGGGATGGGACGGCGAGGAATAAATTGCTCCCCACCCAGCTGCAGTGCGACGCCCCCAGCGTCCCGGGGGAGCCGGTACGTCAGATCGCGGCCGGCTTTAGGCGGGGCAGTACAAAAGCGCCGCGGGACCCCCTTCGCGGGCTTCCACCCCGCCCGAGCGAGCGCCGGAGGCCGCTCCACGCTCCAGAGGTCCTCCGCCCGGATCGGGGTGGCTGTCTAAGGGCTCCAACGCTCCACGCAACTCAGATTTCCTTCCTGGGTTCCTGGCCACCCTCGCCCGCGTCTCAGACCAGAACTAAAAGCCCTCGGAGCCCCCTGTGCGTCCTTAGCCTCCGGCGCCCACCTTAGCCAGAGCCCCTGGGCCGGGCGCGCTCACCCCGGCGGCTGCCACACCGCCCAGGCTCGCTCAGCTTCTGTCAGCCCCGCGGCTCTGTTCACATTTGGGGTACCCCCTCAGCTAGTTATGAAGGAGGTGTGTGTGTGTGTGTGTGTGTATGTGTGTGTGTGTGCGCGCGCGCGCGCATGTGTGTGCGCAGCGCGCAAGCTCCAGGCTAGAAAGAAGGTGACATCCGGGCACGAAAAAGTAGCTTCGGTCTCCTGCAGCTCAGAGCCCGGCGACCTAGTCCGGGCACATCCAGTACTTGAGATGACAGACTGCGTCAAGGACCAAGGCAGGAGCTCACTGGATCATTTCAACTGAGTTTCTATACAACAAGGATTGTTTATAATCAGTACTATTAAATACGAAAATAGGTTTGAAAAAAAATAATAGCTGCAGAGAAAGAAGGGGGTCATTTTAGCAATGGTCAGGAACCAAGTGGTTGAAATGTTTTGTGATTTTGTTTTTTGTTTTTTGACAAGAGCATCCATGATTGATAAAGGTGGAAGCTTCAGACTGGTACAAAACCAGTTCATTACGTGACGGGATTAAAAAAATAGGAGCATGCTTTTCGACACAGACGACCCATTAGTTCTCTGTTAACTGCATTAAGCCAGCCCCACGGAACGATTACCCGGCCGCTTTCAATGTGCAAACATGGTATCGTTTGCAGAACTCTACACACACATACACACATACATATATACACATACATATATACACATTTATAAAGAGAAAAACTGAACATCAGCACCCTGAACTCATAAATACGTATATTTTCTCAAGCAACTATCCCTTAATATGGCAATTTTCCTCTGCATTTCCTTGCTGACCTGTAGATGCAACATTAGAGTTATAGAGTAGGCTACTCGGATCGACATAGTTCTGCTTACATTTATCGTGGAGAACACGTCATAAAATGCTAGAGGGGGAGGGGAAACCATGAGGGGCGTGGAGATGGCTTTTATTAACAATTATAGTCTCCCCTCGCTGTTTAATTTAAATAATAGCAATGATGTCACGGTAACCATCCTCCTTCTCCCACTCCAGCGAAACCACTGGGCTGGTTTGGTGAACAATGCATTGTATATTTGGTTAGGGGATGATTATTGCTGTAGAGTTATATAGATTCATCCTGTGGCCTTTAAAAAAATTGCTGAACATTAACTTATTGGAACATTTGGCATGTTTTAGAGACCATTGACCTGCCACATCTTCTTCCAGAATAAGGGTTATAAAACGCTGTGCCCACCATAGTTGTACAGGAAAATGAAACAAACGAAGTTGTTCTTTAAAAATTGTTAGTTGTAGGCAAACAAAAATATTTCCCATCATCAAAACGAGCCGGTGTGCAGTCTGTTAAACAAGAAGCATATTTTACTAATCCGAAATGCAGTTTAAAAAATTCTTTGAGAGAGCGCCGATAGGAGGGGAAGTAGGTAAATGGAGCCTCGTTCCCAGTCTGCACCCGCGGGTCGCTGGCCAGGAGCGCGCACTCGGCGCACAACGGTATCTCGGCCTTTGCGCACCCGCGCAGTCTGGGGCTCGGTTTCCGAGAATGAGGGCAGTCTCCATGGACCAGCCACCCGTTTAAAAATGGGTGTTTGTATAAGGGCAACGGTCCAGGCTATAGTACAATGGCATGGTGGAGCTAGAACTCTTTATTATTATTAAACAATTGCTTGATAATTAAACTGCTCTACTTATTGAATACCATTTTGCCTCTTTCTCTGAAATTATTAGCCAGAGTTTGCTTCTAATGAGACCTCAAGATTGAGTTCTCTGGAAAAGGGGTTGGGCCTCTCGACAAGGTGTACAGTTTTGAGATGCAGAATAATTCACGTGAAAGAAAGTAATTGCTTGTCTAAGTAAAAGAGGAGAAAAGAAACTTAGGGTTTAAATAGGGTTTATCAGTTTGCAAAACCTTTTTCTATTTCAAACAGCGAACTTCATAAATTACACTCCTTTTCTTTCTCATCACAGACCACCTCAGAGATTTCCTCTTTCTAGCTAGTAAAATGTCCCTGAAGGTTTGAATTAGACACCCAGGAGCCCCAGCAATGTCTGGCCTGCCCTTTTAAAGATTTGGGATCCTTTTTGAGGACTCAAGAAAAACCCCAAATCTGAAACTGGTTTGGTGATGAGGTGACTTCACTGAGTTTATCAGTCTTTTAAGCACCGCATGATTAGACAGGGAAGGTAACTTGAAAATGCAACCTGATTCTAGGCAAAATTATTTTGTCCTCTTGGCGTGAGGACATAGTTTTATCTCCAAGTTCCGCCCAGAAGCAGACGGCTGCATGTCAGGGCTGGTCCCTACCCAGATCACGACAGGATCTTCAGCTGGCAGATGAGATCCAGCAAATGGGATTCATGAAGAAACTCTTGTGCATTAAAAAGGGGGGTAGGGTGGGGGTGCTTCTTCCTGATTCTTTTTGCTGAGAGCTCCTGTGATAAAAATCAATGGCTTTCACAGCATCAAGGAAAGCAAGAATTCGCTACTAAATGGTTTTGAACATGATGTATCTAATGGGGCTAGTTTAAACTCTGTTTTTTTAAAATCCCCCTACAGGTTTTACTCTCCTCTCTGCTTATCTTTTACAAAGATTATCTAAAATCTCATTTATAGATAATCATTGCTGGGGTTGTGCTCCAATTTAAAACACAGAGACACAGGGGCACTTTGGGGGTCATGTAAATATCAGAGTCAAGGGGCTGTCCGGTATACCTGGCAGCTTTAGCTAATAAATAGGAGCTACTCCAGAGAAAGACATGTTTTCATTTCTGTAGTTGCAACTCAAGTCGTTATGAATGTGAGTTTCTGGCTGAACTCAACAGCCCAGAATTAAAGAATTGGGATACATGCCCAAATCTCCTGTAGATAACCACTCGGACACCCAGCCTCTGGCCACTGTCTTCACAGTTACTGTCATAATTTTCCAAGACTTTGCTTTTAACCTTCATATCACCAGGGCTTCCCTGGTGGCTCAGATAGGAAAAGAATATGCCTGCAATGCAAGAGACCCAGGTTTGATCCTGAGTCAGGAAGATCTCCTGGATAAGGGAGTGGCTACTCACTCCAGTACCCTTGCCTGGAGAATTCCATGGAAGGAGAAGCCTGGCAGCCTGGCTACAGTCTATGGGGTTGCAAAGGGTCAGACACGACTGAGACACACACACACACTACCTTTAATGATATGGATTAGTCCTGTCGGGACTAAATGCACTGATGCAAATTGAGCCTTAGAGTTGGTCACTTCAACAATCATCCAAAATTAAGCCCAGTCCCCCAATTGAGCATTTGGCTCCTTATGTCTCAAACCCTTCCTTAGGTCTCTGAGGGTTCAAAACAGCCCTTAGCAGCGAATTCCATGAAGGCAACTGTTTGGTATCCACAAGTAAACTAAGAGTTGGGGAGGGAGCCCAAATTTACCATCCGTAAATTTTCTTTCATTTCTGTCTAATAAAATGGAGGCTGACTGTATTAAATTCCCTCCACAGCTTACCAAAATTGATAATATGTTTGTTTGTTTTTTTAAGTCTGAGAAAGCATCCCATGGTCTTGCATCTTAGGAAGGGTCACCAACTGGCTCTTTTCGGATGACTTTTAGAGACCTGTGCCCGAAGTCGATCTCAGGCAAAGCTACTCAGATGAAGGCGGAGCTCCGTGTCGCCTGCGAAGGTATTTTACCTAGACTCTTCTGCTTTTTCCATCCTAATGCACACTCAGCCACGCTCGTAGGAGGATTGGCAGGCTAATAAAAGTGAATAGTTTGGGGGTAGAACCCCACAGTTTCTCCCAGAGGGACTTCGGCCGGAGAGATAGCGGGAGCAACCAGCCCATGCGCCTGGACTACAGGCCCCCCCGAGGCTGCGGCGGGCGATGTCAGGTGAGCGGCTGGGGAAGGGGGTGCTGGAGGCTCGCCCCAGCACCCCCTCCACCCCGGCCTGCCCCGGGCCCCTCTCCCGCAGCGCCTGGACCCGGAAGGCCATTCCTTTCGGTCTTTTCCTGCAAAAAACACCTGCTGCCGCGGATCAAGGACACCTGATACCAGATGTAAACAGAGAAAGGGAAAAGAGAAAACCCCACCCTTGTTAATTGCGTTCGTTTGGAATCCCGGCTGCCCGATCCATTACAGAACGCCAGCTCAGCGGGACACCTGTGCGGATGCTGGCGCTGGACCCGGTACCGGCGGCGGCTCGGGCCTGGAACGTGGGCTCTGCCGCGCCCGGACAGGAGGCCAAGGGGAAAAGGAACGAATTTCGGGCTGGAGGGGCGGCGCCTTGGTCTGGGGGATAGGTGGGGGCTGGATACTGGAAGGGATGCTCCGAGGCTGGCTCCCCAGTACATCCCGGACGCCGGTGGGAGGGGGGAATCAAAGCTGCGGTTTTGAGGATCCAGTGTCCTCTGGGCACATCCTACGCTCCAGGCTGGGGTGGGCTCCCTGGGGCGCCTCCTCTGGCCTCATTAGAGGCGAGCTAC